TGCAAAAATTGCACCATCATAATGAAATATAATAGAGTAGAAAGAAATGGGATTCAACTAAATTAAATTAAATCGAATTAAATTAAATTGTTACCAAACATTTTCTATCGTACGTAATTCTTAGAAGTTATTTAATGTGAAAATAAATTACAAAAGCAACATAAATAATGATAGCAAATTAGGGCACGATGAAAAGTGATAAAAATTGTTTTGCAAATGTGTCAATTGTTTTTGCCAATAATAAATGTTTCAGTACAAAAGTATCGCTTTGTACAATTACTTCAAACTAAATAAAAATTGAATTATAATTCACTGACTTCAGATATCAGTGGACTTTTATCAGAAGTATGCATAAAGAGAATAAAAAAGGATCAAATTTTTGCATTGAAACAAGCATTGATATGAATTTGATATCATAATGTAATTCAATGATTAAAAAAGTTTGTAGAAATGAGGAATATTAAGCAAGTCTGGGATTAATATTAAGCTCAATTTTGTGCATTGTCTAAAAACTAAAATACTAAAACTCCTTGCTTACTGTAAACGATAAATTGGCTTAGAACCGAAGAAAATGAATAAATTATTGTTTAATTATTGCAAAGGCATTTTCGAAAGATTACTTGACAATGCAATATTGATATGATAATTTAATGTGCAATAGAAATACATTGTTATGACAAATTTTGCACTGAAAATTAGAAAAAATAACTATTATGTTGCATTTATTTTGTCAATAATATAATTTGCATGTAACAAAATTTTATACAGAAACTGTACAAATAAGTTATGTGCTTAGTTATTCGGTAAAATTATAATCAAAAAATTCAACAATATCAACTGAAATGAAGCTTGCTTCTTAAAAAATGAAATTGAGTGTTAATTATTAACAGCTTCTGAAACTTAATGTAAAGAAGAATCAGAAAATTAACTAGATGTAGTCAAGAAAATATCTAGCATTACACAAATAAACGAAAATAATTCCTAGGTTACTTTCAAATTTAATGAAGAACTTTGATGAGAAATAAAAAATCGCACATTTATCATTTTTTAACCAATTTTTTTTTTTAAATTCGTAAGAATCAAAAAAATTCCATGCATATTTTTTATTACTCGAACGAATTTTTTTAGATTCGTAATTTTTTTTATCTTAAAAACTTGCTAGAAAATTAAGTATGTTTTATTAATAGATAGTATTGGTTGTTTTTTGTTTTGCCTAAATTCTAAAAAATTAATGGTAGCATTGATCTTATTCACAAATTATTAATGCTTAAAATAATTACTTTTGTTATCGCACAATATAGAAAATTGTGCTCGTTTAAATTTACATCACTTTAATGAATTACAAATTATCATTAAGTGGCAAATTGAAGACAAATATTGTTTTATGCAAAAATATTAAGATATATCGAAATAACAGGTTTTAGTCCAGATATTTTTGCCAGTGGCATCAAAAAGGATGTGATACTCTGAATAAATTTATTATGAAGGCCAACCTATCAAAAATCAAAATTCATTTGTCATGACAAGTTTAAAAATGCTGTTCTGTCATGTCTAAAATTATTAATTTGAATCCTTTATTTAGCTCGAAACTGCAACACTTTGTGCATATACAAACGAAAATTACCAAAAATTAAATGCCTTTATTTTGATAGTTGTAAAAGCTGTTTTCTTCTTATTTTTTCAACTCAGAATTTAAGATTGAGAAAGTAATTAAAAGAAGAAATTTTTTGAGCATTATTTTGTTCATATTTTTAATATTAGAATCCATCCAATTAAAAAGTATTAAAGATGTGCAATTAAGTACTCCATTAAAATATTTCATTTCTGATTATTTTTCTTTTATTGCAATTCTTTTTTAATATTTGGGGCAATAAATATGAGTGCTAATGATGATTTAAACTATCTTTTTTTTTTTTGATACTATTGTAGGAGTGGTTGTTATTGCACCCAGATGTTTGTTTTCACCAGGAAACTTCATTAGTGACAACTTTAATTTGTAAACAAGTTTACCATATCATTTTACCATCAGGAAATTGTAATGGATAAGAATGATTGTAACAAGAATAAGAAAAAAAGTAATTTTGAAAAAAGTGATAACAGCTCATGATAATGATAAGTTTGCAGATGGATAGATGATGGATAAATGAGCATCAAATGAGCTGAATTCCATCTTCTCACGCATATCTTTTGTGTACTTTTTCAACCCCGCCTTGATCCATCTTTAAATTACTTGTCCTCCGTAGGAAGGATATATATTCAGTGTATTACTCATTACATTCATATAAAAGAATATAAAAACAATTTTCATTTCCAGCGGTATATGACTACTTTTAATATATTATAATGAATAATTGTTTGTAATATTTTGAACTTGTTAATCAAATTTGGTTTTTAGTATTTATTTTTGCTTTTTAACTACTCTAAAATTATTGTAAAGTACTAATTTAATCAAATATTCTTTACATAAAGCCGTCACAAGTAAATTAATTAATAACAGCTGTTTTGGTTGATATTGTACTCTGTTTATTAATTTCCCATTCATGCAATAATAATTATGGGTTTTACATTCTTTCATATCCTTATAAAACATCTTTGTAAGACAAATTCAATCATTGTAATCAAGAATTTAGCAAATTTAGTTCCTTTTCTGAGTTATTTTTCAAATAATTTGTCTTTTCTAATTTTTCGTGCTATAAAAATTAGCCATTATTTTGAGTTTATTTTGATCGACGGGGCATTTATAAACATTTGCCACAAAAATAAGCCATAATTTTAATTATTTAATAGTGTAATAATATGAGGAAACTTTTACTTTTAACTTTAAAAGTTGTAGCAATTCAAAAGCAATCTATAAGGCTGCTATTTTGGAAGGGAATTGCAATTATCTGGTAATATTTCCACACTAAATTGGATAATATATACTTCTATATCAAGAATTTAGCTTATTCAGACAATAGGTTAAATAAAAAGCTTAAAGAGATTTGTGCATAAATAATCATAATAATACAGATAATGAATTAGACATATTTAACCTTTAATTATTATCTTGGCAAAAGAATGGATAATTGCTTATCCTAAATTCTGCAAAGAACTTTGTCCACTTTATTTCATTGTTCTTTTGTATTTGTATTGTAAAAAAAAATGTATCAATTTTTTAATTTCTTTTTACTATTGTTGCTCTCTTATAATTTCTTTTAGTTCCATCATTGATATTTCATTGAAAGTAGTCAAAAAGAAATGAACCAAATACTGTTATTTTGACCTCAATTAGTGGTTATAAAATAATTAAAGAGCATTTCTGTATTATTTTTGGCTTTATTACTAACAAATATATTAGTTCTATGCAATCAACAGCGTTTTTTCTTCACACTTATCAAGCATTTCATCTTCTTACTTTCAGTAAATTAATACTGACTAAAGTCATTATTAATTAGTCTTGGAAAAAATATTGAAAATTGACAGAATTAAGAATAATCTAATTCCACGTGATTGTTTGAAATAACGTGATTAGTAATTTTAAGCTATATAGTTTTATGCTCAATGATACAATATCAAGACAATAATGCAAAAATTCAAATAAATATGCAATTATCTAGTTGCATTCAAAGTCTCGATTAGAAAAATTTTGCTAAAACTACAGCAAACAACAAGCTTTATATCTCTTTTCGATTTATGTCAGAAAATGTATGAGTAATTATTTAATGAGAGTTATTGATAATTATTTAGTATTTTACTTTAGTAAATGCGTGAAGATTTGTAGAAAATATTGGTCAACTTTTTCATTTAATCTCAACTTAATTTAAAAAGACTTTTCAATTTTTTCATTTGTTTTTACTTCAGAAATTTTAAAACTTTCGCAGTTAATTTTAGCTAACATTCATGCAATAGATATTGTGCTATGAACGGCTGAATATTATTACTAATTATTAATGGACGAAATTATTATTTTTTTGATATTATTTAGTAAATAATATCGTTTTTTAAAACCACTGAAAACACTTTTGAACATTAAATAACTTTTAAAGCCTCAAAAATAGTTGTAAAATT